GAATTCTGCACTCTTCAATTTACACCATGTCAATATGGCAAATTTGGCATCCTTAGGAGACTCAAGTTTTCTTTTTAGATGTTCTTAGCATTTGGGAAACAAACAGAAATCTGAAGGTGCAAGATGAGGGCTATATGGTACAATAGATAAATTTGTAAGCCAGGCTTTGCTACCCTCCAATGAATGAGTAGGTGCAGGGCTGGGATGGAAAAATTCCTTGGTGCAACTTTCCTGGTCTTTTTTTCCAATGTAGTTTTCAATTTTCTTGAAGTCTCTTTATAGTAATCCCCTGTGATCATACTGTGTCCTTTGAGAAAATCAATCAAGATTACCCTTTTGGGCTTCCCCAAAATACTCACCATACCTTCTGAAATAACCTGTCTGCCTTGAATTTAACTGACATAGCAGATGGCTCCATATGATAAGCACTGGAATGTGAATCACAAGGTCTGTGGTTCAAGCCCACTGATTGTTCTGCAGATGAAAGATGAAGCTTTCAGCTCCCCTGATATGTAAAGCATCAATGTAAAGCATCAGAAACTCTGTCCAGGGTTGCTATGAATTGGACTAACTCAAAAGAACCTAACAACAATGAAGCAGATTTCCTTAGACCTTTTTTTGTGTAGGCATCCTAATGAGATTAAGACTAATGTATTACTGAGAGAATTTGTCTACATCCATCCATTTACCAGAGAGACAATTTAAAACAGTTTGTTTGGAATAGGCCTATAGATATGTAAACTAGAAGGAGCTCTGGTAGCGTGTTGTTGTTGTTAGGTGCCGTCGAGTCGATTCCGACCCATAGCGACCCTGTATAGGGTTTCCAAGGAGTAGCTTGTGAGCTTGAATCACTGACCTAGCAGTTCAAACAACTTTGCAGTCTGACGCATTAGCCCTCGGTACCAGGAATGGTAGCGTAGTGGTTACAAATCGGGCTGCTAACCGCAAGGTCAGCAGTTTGAAATTACAAGCTGTTCCACAGAAGAAAGATGAATCTTTCTGCTCCCGTAAATATTTACAGCCTCGGATACCCTGTACAGTGTCACTATGAGTCGAAACCAACTCCACGGCACATAACCTCTAACTACCACCATATAAACTGGATCCCTAATAGCAGTGCTTTCTGACTTACCCTTTTGAATGGGTGTGTGTGTGT